TTATACGTATGCGAATGCCCGAGGCGACGACGACGACGACGACGACGAGCGGGCTTGGGGGTCCACCACGGTGCGGCATAAGGGCGGGGCCATGCATGAGCATTTGCACAGCATTGCACGGCAGAAGGGCGGGGGTCCACCACGGCGCGGCAGAAGGGCAGGGTCGTGGTTTCTTCCCTCTTTGCATCCTCATCCTGGTCGTCGTCGTCGTCGCATTCGCCGTCGTCGTCGTCGTTGCGACGTCAACCCCGGGCACGGGCGCGGGGATTGATTTCAGAAGGCGTTGTGTTTAATCGAGCGTTGGACGGACGGTGGGGTTGAGATACGGCGGGCTTGGATTTGCAGATCCTCTGACCACGGTTTTTGTACATATATATTTTGTTTTGCGTTTGTTGTGTTTGTTTTGTTTTCTGGTGGTGCGTTTTTTGGTATGATTGCACCCCTTTTACATCCAGAACCCCGAAGCCTTCGCACATTGCCACCGCCTAGGCCCTGAAGTCGGAGCCACGGCACCAGGCAGGCAACAGGCAAGGGCGAGCGGGCCTCACGCCCGCACAACAAAACGTCACAGTGCGAGCGATACCCCATTAGAGAACATCAGCTGAGCGTGACCCGCATTTCCCCATGTGGGAATCCTCACCGTGCTGATTCACAACAAAAACGTTAAACGAGAAACATCACTCACTCTCCGTGCTTGTCGTACACGGCCGATGCAGCCTCCCAGGCTTTCTTTGCATGCGCAGTTGCCTGCGCATCACTCATGCCAGCTGCCTTGCCCCTAGGTCTTGGCAGCACCGTACGCCCTGCTGCAGAAAGCGTTGCGGGTCCTGCCCTTGCAGTCCTTCGGCATGAGCTTGTCTTTGTAGTTCGCGCCGTTGGTGCCGCCCTTGCCTGGTCGGCCGCTCTCTCTCTCTCTCTCTCTCTCTCTCTCTCTCTCTCTCTCTCTCTCTCTCTCCCTCTCTCTCTCTCTCTCTCGCTCTCTCCCTCCCTCTTTCTCTCGACTTCTCTCTCCGTATCCCTCCCCATCCCTATCCTTCTCAATGCTCCATCCCCCCTTCCACGGAGTTGGGGGCCCGTCTCAGAAACTACTCCCGAACGCCAGAAAGGGCTCGGTCTGCCGAAGCAGACTGCATGGCGCGCACGTGGAACTGCGCGCACATCACACACACGCGCGCGCACCGACACACGCATGCCGCATTACACACATGCACGCGCATGTTACCCCATCGGTGGTCGCCTGTCGAACCGCCATCGAGGCCCGCCTTGGGCTTGACCAGCGGCGCAACCTTCGCCTTGCACGTCTTGCCCGTGGACTCCTTCTTGACCGTCGTCTTGGCCTTGGCCTTGCCCTTGCCTCGACCCTTGGACTTGCCCGAGCTCCTGCCCTTGCCGACCCCAGCTGCATCCATCATCTTCTTCTCGATCTCAGCTGCCTCGTCGATGCCATCGTCGCTGTCTCCGCCGAGCTCGATGTGCACCGCGCCCGTGGCACTGGGGGCACTGCCGCCCAGCGCTGGCGGCGGCGACGGCGTGCCAGGAGCACCAGCACCCCCTGGCGGCGTGAATGGCCCCGGCACGCCAGCAGCTCCGTGCTGCGCCTTGGTCGGTGGCATCACGCTGGACATCGGGCTCGCGTCAGCGACGGGGCCCTTTGGGGGAGTGTACGTGATGTTGCATCCGCCACTGCCGCCATTGCCAGCGCTCGTCGCACCTTGCATGAAGGAAGACATGCTTTGCATCATCATGGCGAAGAACGCGTTGACATCTGGTGGCGGTGCCAGCGCCCCAGCTGGGGGCAAAGGTTGGCGCGCGGCGCGGGCAAGGGCGAGCTGACCGCTGGCGTCGCCAGAGTGGGCCCTCTCAGCCTTCAGGCCCTTGTGGCTGCCCCTCGCCCCCTGCTGCAGTATCTCCAGATCCAAGGCGCTGCGGGTTACCTCCGCGGGCGGTCGAACTGGCGGGGTGTCGCCATACGCATGCTGGACAACAGGTGCTGGCATATGAGATGGGTTCAGAGGGAATATCTTCTGGTGCTGGCAGGGCCACTTGCAGGCCTTGTCCTTCTGCTTGATGGTTGACTTCAACTGCGGTGCCATCGCGTGCTTATCCGTCAGGCTCGGCTGTCCACAATTGCCCGCAATCGCCAAAATCCCGACAGCCCTCTTCAGCAAGCGCCACCCTGGGCACACCAGCCCAACCTTGTACATACGGTCTGCCATGACCGCAAGTTTCGGGGCCACACTGAGGCTGGGGTCCATGATTGTGGCCCAATCGCTCTGGGTGGAGAAGTTCTCCAAGTAGTCACATGTTTGCTGCGAACGCGTGGCATGGTCGCCACGCTGGTTGGCCACAGCGTCAGCCAACTGACTGGCGATGCGAGTCACCTGCGATGGGGTCCACGGGCCAGCGTTCACTTCGCGGGTGACTTCAGTCGCCATGGCAAGGGTAATCCCGTGGGTCTGGGCCACCATGTTGCACACTGCATTCGTCTGGGACTCGAGCAGCCCAACCCTCGGTACACCCGCTGCTGCCTGGGCTTCGGTGAACCGCACCCTCTGCCGCAGCGCGCTGATGAGCTGGTCTGCCACGCTGGCGTCACCCATGGCCACGCGGTGCCCGCAACCCTGAGGGCGGTGATGCGACCTGCCAGGCTGACAAAGAGCTGTGCGAGCATAAATGCAGCAGTGAACTCGAACACTGGACAGACACCGATGGTGACGAGGATGGCCGTGGCCACGAGGAGGATGTGGGATTGGCGGGAGGAGGAGGAGGAGCATTTGGGTTGGGGTGCAGGGGCCAATGGAGCATGAGGTTGCCTTGCAAGCGGCTCGTCGCCGCATCTTGCGCGAGAACGCCGTCATGTTCGAAGTCCCCCTGGTGCTTTCGAACCTCGTTCGAAGTCCCCCTGGGGCTTTCGAACCTTCGAACCTCGTTCGAAGTCCCCCTGGAGGTTTGAAACCACCGAATACATTACGTTGATGTTTCAAACCCCCAGGGGGACTTCGAACGAGGTTCGAAAGCCCCAGGGGGACTTCGGACGAGGTTCGAAAGCCCCAGGGGGACTTCGAACATAGGCCATGTCCAGCACTAAGACCCGACCTTGCGAGATCGAGCGCCCACGTGCGCCAGCCGAGACGCTCGATTCGCCGCCCCGTCGGCTCACAAACGTATGCTTTCGGCCAGGGGTAGGGCGAGTGTGATGGTGATGATGGTGTTGGTGGCGATTTTTTTTTTTTCTATATCCATTTCAGCTGGCAATCTCGGTCGCGCAGCTGCAATGTCGCAACCTGAATATGCGCAAGGGCGACGCCCACGCAACGGAGCGCTCGCGCACTCGGCGGAACCCCAGCGCCCACATACGCAGCGCAAGTAATTAAAGTCGCAGAGTGCGTCGACCCCTGCGCACACGCGATGGGCGGCCGTTCGTCTGCGCCCAGCCGAGGCGGCACAAGCGACATCACTCATCGTTGCTCACATCTCCTGAGCCCTCCACAGTACCTGCATGCTCCGCGTGGTGGTCAACGTGCCACTTGCTCAGCCGATCGGCCGCCTCGTTGACTTGCTGCTGGAAGTCGGGGGCCCGCTGCGCCCTGATGGACTTGCGCGTCCACTTCTGGATAATATTGCAATAGTAGAAAGTGCGCACGGAGGAACGACACGGCACCCACGCCGCGTGCGGGACTGAGATCTGAGGCGGCGCCAGCGGTGGACCAGACAGAACAGCCACTTTGGTAAGGAGAGCCAAGTTGTATTCGGTAAGTTCGATTTCGAGTTTTGCCCGAACGTTCATGCTGGTGCGCGCCACGACGTGGTGGGTTGCACCGTCATCAGTAGTGATGGCCGCCGTGATGTGATTGGCGATCTCGTCGAACAGCCGCGCCCTCCTGAGCTTCTTCGCCGCGGGGATGGGAGCTGACTGCTGTTGCGCTAGTGGGTCGGGGGCACTACGGGCAGCCTCGGCAATCTCCAACAGCTGCTCGGTCTTCTCGTTGCGCTGCCTCACGAGCTCGTCGTGGACGGAGAACTCACAGTTAGTGAACTTGCGGTACCTGGAGTCGCCCTTGCTGATGGATATCCACAGTTTGCCGTCCTTGTCCTCGTATGGGGCGACCCGTGCGTTCTGTGGCGTCGGATCCTCGACGCCCTCAGCGGCGATCACCGCGTAGTTAAGCTGGGCGCTGACCATGTGATCCCACCAGGCAGGCCGAGTTGACGTAAACAAGACGAGCGCAGCGCACACGGTCCAGCTTGAGCCTAAATATGGCTACGCATGATGGTGGTTATGGTGATGCGGCGGCACGCCCAATGCCCCCATGAGGGCACACTCGGGGGCGGTGCGGGTGTTGAGTGCCCCCCAAACTGCAAACATCTCACATATAACTTGCCGGGCGGGGGCCGCGCCGACTCGGCCGTTGGGGGCGGGGGCGTGCCGGGGATTGCGAGCTAGTGGGCTTTGCGAGGGCCAGTTGGGGCAATCGCGGGGACCATATGGGGGGCGCTAAGAGGGGGGGCGACGACGACGACGAAGACGTCGACGTCGCATTTTTTTAACGCATTTGAAATAATATCAACCAACGGCTGGAGCCTCAAAGGAACCTCAAACTGGGCCGTAACGCGTGACGTGCGCGAGCCGCCCGTTACGACGACGACGACGACGGCGACGACGACTACGACGACGACGACGACGTCGGATTTGTTCCAAACGCATTTGAAACAACAAACCAACGACGGGAGCCTCACGGGACCCTCAAGGGAGCTGCAACGGGGCGACGCCGCCGCCGACGACGACGACGTGTAGGAGCTGAGCGTCACCCGACGCAACCACCCAGACGCCACGAGCTCACGAGCTGGCCCCATCTCTGCAGATCCCCCTCGACCCCCAACCCAAACATATGTTCGTTGAGTTCGGAGGCCGCTGGCGGTCCCCAGCGGGTTTCCCTATCGCCTGTTTAAGCAGACTGGAACCCATAGGGAACCGCCGGCGGCCAACCTAACTCACAACATATCGAGTTAGGATACGGGGCCTGAGTAACCCTCATTCCTCCAAGGCAGCCGCGAAGGTGGGACGGGAGCCGCGCGGTCGGGTCCTTGTACTTGTCGAGGGCGATGGGAGCGCGCGGGGGCGCGCGGGCGCGCGACCTCGACCACTCATCCTCCTCAGTCTGGTGGATCTTCCTCATCGCCCCCCTCGCATTTCTTCCTCTCTCATCCCCCCTCGCCCCTTATACTCATTCACCCTCGGTGGCGGGGAGACGGGTGAGGCGGGGCCCGACATGCAGACGGGGTTGACGGGCGATGAGGACGGCGATGGCGAGGGGGAGAAGGATGAGGAGGGGCAGGAGGCGGAGGAGGAGGAGGAGGAGGAAAGGGAGGAGGAGGAGGAGGAGGAGGAGGATGAGGAGGAGGAATAGGAGGAGGAGGAGGAGGGGGGGGCGCGAGCTAGAGGATGAGGAGGAGGAGGAGGAGGAGGAGGAGGAGGAGGAGGAGGAGGGGGAGGGCCCCCAGGCATCGCAGCGCGACGCACGCTGACCAGGCGAACGAGTGTGCCGCGCCGCCCCCACAAACACCTACACGCGCGCTCGCTGACCGATGGCCCGAAGCACGCTCGACGTATCATACGGGGCCCCAGTGCGGCGGCATACACTCCTCTGCACGCGCATCGGGGCTTACGCGGGCACCTTGCGCCTCCAATGGTCGAGGCGGGGAGGGGGCACGGGTCGGGTAGCCAGACGGAGCAGGCGGGGGGATATGACGAGGGGGGTTCCATTGCGATCGCAAACGACCAAGTGTAACATTCGCCGACCCCGCGGGTCGCGTCACGACTGCTGGCGTAGACTGGCAAACTTAGAGCAACGCCGAGGACTCGCCCACATCGAAGCGATATCGACATGGCTAGAACCACGCGCCATGGAAGACCGCAGTGGCGCCCTTGAAACCCCGCAGGCGCACTGCGCGAGGCAAACACCCGACGCGGCAGCAATTGGAGCACGGGCGAAGGTGGGCCGAGCAATGTGGGGATAGCTAGTTATGTGTGGAGTGAACGAGGGGGGGGACCACGATTACTTGCTGCCACTGCCGCCGCCGCCAACTGCGGTGACGAGCGACCCCCTGGGGCGATGCAACTCGTGGCCCGCCTGAATCGCCTTCGGATTTGTGAGGGCTGGCACGGTCACTGACTTAGCAGTTTTGACAGCTCACACAAACGTACACACATCAACAGCTACACTGGCCCATGCGAGGTTCGGCACCTTCGAGTCTTTAGCAAACGGGACTGCCCAGAAGGGCACGACAAACGTGTGCTTATCAAACTTCGGGGCGAGAGTCGCGCGAGCGCCTTTCTCACCAACCAAATGCGAGACGTCAACACTCGTACCATTGGCGGGCTGCTTTTTGTCATCATATCCTATGGTAATGTGCGGCGTGAAAGGCACGAGAATCAACTCATTCTTTTCAATCTTGTCACTCGCAGTGACCCTCGCAATTGAATCCTTCGGCACCGAAACATAATGGATTGTCAGATCGCACCGCTGAGCGTTGCTCAAAAACGCCCTGCCCAGGGCGAGCCTGACCGCGGCCTTGGCCGCCTCGTTGCGCACGTCCGTGTTCTCCTGGCGGCGCGGCGCGGAGATGGAGGAGGGGGAGGAGGAAGGGGGAGGCGGAGGGGGGGAGGCTGATAATGAGGAGGAGGAGGAGGAGGAGGGGGAGGAGGAGGAGGAGGGGGGAGAGGGGGGGCAGAGGACGCGGGGGGGAGGAAGGGGATGGGGGAACGGAGGTGGGAACGGAGGAGGAACGGAGGACGAACTGACGAGGAGGATGAGGAGGCAGGCGGGGCAGGAACGGATGAGGAATGCATGAGCAGGGTGGATACCAGGAGGTGGAGGATGAGGAGGAGGGTGACTTTCTAGCCTATACCCTCCTCCAAGAAGTCCACGTGTGGACTTCTTGGAGGGGGGTGAGGAGGATGGTTGTTCCAACAGGTCTCACATGACAACTCGTTTCTTGCTGTCCGCGTCACCCGTCGTCCGTCGTCCGTCGTCCGTCGTCCGTCGTCGTCGTCGTCGTCGTCGTCGTCGGCATGTTTGTTGGTTCTTTTCGCATGCGTTTGGACAGCATCCGTCGCCGTCGTCGTCGTCGTCGCCGTTGCCCCTCCACTTAGTGAGAGTGAGAGGGAGAACGAGGGAGAGAGAGAGAGAGGGAGAGAGTGTGAGAGCGAGAGGCGAGAGAGAGAGAAGAGAGGAAAAAAAAAGAGAGAGAGAGAGAGGAGAGGAGAGAGTGAGGAGAGAGGAGGAAAGAGAGAGAGAGAGAGAGAGAGAGAGAGAGAGAACGAGAGAAAAGAGAGAGAGCAAGAGAGAGAGAGAGAGAGAGAGAGAGAGAGAGAGAGAGAGAGAGAGAGAGAGAGAGAGAGAGAGAGAGAGAGGGAGGGAGAGAGTGTGAGAGCGAGAGGGACTGAGAATGTGCACAGCGAATGCTAATGCGAGCGACAGCGGGCTCTTGGAATTCGGATGCAATATTTGAGAAGCGCCTCCGAATCCCATGGGGAGGGATAGCGAGAGAGGGGGGGGGGGGGGGGGGGGGGGGGCGAGGAACGAGAGACGAGGAGAGGAGAGAGGAGAGAGCTTAGAGAGAAGAGAAGAGAGAAGATGATGGAGAGAAGAGGGAAGAGAAAGAGAGAGAGAGAGAGAGAGAGGAGAGAGAGAGAGAAGATAGAGAGAAACGAGAAAGAGAAAAGAGAACTGAGAAAGAGAAAGAAAAGGAGGAAGGGGAAGAGTGGGAAAGGAGAAACATAAAAAAAAAAAAAAAAAAAGAGAAAGAGAAAGAGAAAGAGAAAGAAGAGAGAGAGACAGCGTGAGAGAGAGAGAGAGAGAGAGCAAGGGTCGCGCCCTGTTGATCACACGCTGACGCTGAGAGGTGGTCTCCCGGACGGCTTAAGCCACTGGGGTGGCGGTCGGCTACCTCTCTCTCTCTCTCTCTCTCTCGCTCTCTCTCTTTCTCTCCTCTCTCTCTCGCTCTTCTCCTCTCTCTCTCTCTTCTTCCTCTCTTCTTCTCGCTCTCTCCTCTCTTCTCTCTCTATCTCTCTCTCTCTCTCTCTATCTCCTCTCTCTCTTCCTCTCTCTCCTTTCTCTCCTCCTCTCTCTCTTCTCTTTCTCTCTCTCTCTCTCTCTCCCCTCTCTCTCTCTCTCCTCTCTTCTCTCCTCTCTCTCTACATACTCTCTCTCTCCCTCTCTCTCTATATATATTTATAGCCTCGCTCGCTCGCTCGCTCCCTCCCTCTCTCTCTCTCTCTCTCTCTCTCTCTCACACTCTCTCTACCCCTGCCGTCGGTTGAGTTTCGCCCTTATCCCCAGCGGGGAAGGAGGGCGACCCAACCAGACACCACAACAAAACATATCTGGCTGTCGGGGGGTGGCTGCGATGTGAAATTCAATTCAGCCCACCTGGTACTCGTCGGCTAGCCTGCCAGTGGGAATCGAGAACGTAGCGGCCCTCTTCTTGTTGTCCAAGCGGGCCTTCAACACGACGTTGCACTTGTTATCGACATCCTCGATCGTGTACTCCCGGGTGCTATCTCCGTTCTTGGCCACGACCGTCGAGCCGACCTTCAAGCCGAGCTCCGCGAGGGCATCCTTGGACATGACGTTTGATTTCCCAAATTGGACAAGACCTCCGATTGGCATGGCATCGCCCTCCTTATGGGCGCATGGTTTTGCAGTCAACTTCCATGGGGCCGCTGTGGACTTGGCCTCGGGGTGAGCATCTAGTACATCTTGTAAAAATGATTGCTGGACCTCCTCCATGTTTTTTTATACTCTTTGCGTGTCGGGCACTTCTTGGAATGTAACGTCATGACGGTGCGCACCTGGAAATCGCCCAGCAGTTGGGCGCGATGAGTCTTCGCAATCCTGAGCTTGTCCAAATACGCTGCGGCTGCCCTGAACGACGAAGCAGCCTTCACCACTGCGGCCCTCTTAGCAATCTTTTTCAAATCAGAGAAATCCGAACTGACAAACAACCTGCTGGGGCCCATCTTGCAATATTTCTCGGGGCTCGACATCATTGCCTTGGCCAGCCCAGTGACGTACTCTGGGGCTTCCTGAAGGGGCAGGCTTGCGAGGAGACCCCACGATGCGTCATCGACTGTCCTCGTGAACTTGAGGCCGCCCTGAAAAAAGACCACAACTCATGCAGAAATTGCGCTGCCTCACCACCGCTCCACTTTTCAACATACTTGCACAGGTTGGCAATCTGCCCCGTCAAATCTGGATGATTTGCCTCCACCTCGATTGTGATCAAATCGTATTTTGCATCTCCATATTTTTTGATGTTTGCCATTGCCACCCCATGTATATTAAGCATCGCTGCGATCGACGATACTGCCTGGTGGGCCCCGTGCTCCTGGTTGCTCGCGTCCTGGATGAAGTTGGCGAGCCCTGGCATTGCCTTGATGCACTCACGGCGTATGATTGTGTACGGCATGCCCCTTTCCAGCGGCTCTTTGTACGACGGGCAGCGAGACACGACTTTCTCGATTGATAACTTACCATGAGCGTCTGACAACTCATCTAAGAACGTATCGCATCCATTCGCCACTGCCCTGATCCCTCCCGTAGTGTGGGAACCTGCCAACGTTAAGATTCTCATATCTTGTCTACACATTCTGGCGACCATACCGTCGCTGACATCTGAAAGGTTCTGTTGAAATTGGAACTCCTTCTCAAACTCATCTGGGTCTGAACTCACCTCTACTGCGCGCGCGCCTGATGCGAACGCATAGCTCCAACCCTTATCGACGATCTTGCCTAGGAGGCTGTGCATGGAGAATCCGACGAGGCCTTGTCCCCAACGATTCTCTGGATGGCATCCTGCTGGGACGCACTTATCCGAAACGGCCGCCACGCCTCCCCTGCGACGGGGGGGGCAGGACGGCGGAGAGGGGGGATGACGTTTGCAGTCGAATGGGGGCGAACACACACAGAAAATCGGAGGGTTGGGCCTTTCAAAACCCACGAGTCCTACGTGTTTGGGCTTGACCCACTCCACATATGCGAGATCCAGGCGAAGAAGAATTGACATAATCCTGTCTGCCGCTGATGCTTTCTGTTTTTTTTCAACGCCCATCTCTCCCATTTGAGATAAAATCGGGTTCACCTCATCCGCTGCAGACTCGAGATTCTTCTCAAAGTTCATCAATAGTGCCAAGTACAACACACCAATCGTCGAATGTAGTGTGCCCACAAAGCCAAAATGGCTTGAGCACAAAATGGCTAAGGATTGCGCCCTTGCCATTGCACAGGCAAGCCAAAGACCGAACACTGCATCCACGCGTCGTGAATCCGAGCAACGGACCTGGAAACCCAAGACACTGCTTGAACGATTTCGGCAATCTATATGATTTTTTGGAATCGCATTTAGCTAAACGCATTTAGGTGATTTAGTAAATCACCTAAATGCGTTTAGCTAACTGCGATTTGGGCGAACCTAACCTATTTAGTTCTGGATACGCAACCGTTCCCTAACTACAACAAACAAGAACACGGAGTTAAGACAACCAGGTTGCAAAGCGCAGAACATGAATACATATAGCAGTCGCGTTTCACTAACTGACTGAACTACTTCAGTTCTGGCAACACAGAGATAGTCAGATTGGGTATAAGATCGTGTAGATAAAACAAGTTGCAATAACTTATATACTGGTTCTATCTGATATGTATGCATTTATATGTGACCTATCTAGATGATAAAGAGGGCGGTTATCCCAGCAGGAGCGCACCAACAGGGCTCCGAGACGTCCCCGAAACCCTCAAGACGGGCCCAGATGTCCCCAAGAGGCTCCCAAGATGGTACACAAGGGTTCCGAGATGCCACATGATCGCTCCAAGACGCCCAAGATGGCCCCCAGACGCCCCAAGAGGCCTCCAAGAGCACTCCCAAAAGGGCCCCAAGAAGCAAAATTCATGGTTTTTCCTTAGGTTTTTGAAAGATTTTGGAGCTTCCACCTTTTCGGTTTCCCGACGCCCCAAGACGGCCCAAGAGGCCCCCAAGATCGCCCCAAGAGAGCCCAAGAGGCCCCCAAGAGGGCCCCAAGATGGCCCAAGAGGGCTCGAAGACGGCCCAAGAAGCCTCCAAGACGGTCCAAGAGGGCCCCAAGAACGCCCCCAAGGGGGCCCCAGAGAGGGAACACGAAACAACATTTCGAGCCCTCGGCCCTAAAAGCCCACACGAGGCCCCAGGGCCCCTAAGAGGCCCCAAGAGGGCCCCCACGCGGCCCTCTAGGAGGCCCCAAGAGTCCCCCAAGCGGCCCAGGAGGCCCCCCAAATGCCCCCCCGAGCGCCCCAGGAGTCCACAGGCGGCCTCAGGAACCCCCACAAAGCGCCCATTGACAGCAGGCCTCGGGCAAACGGCAGACATGAGACTGTGTATGGCCGGCGGAATGACGCGAAGCGATTATTAAATATCATGGCCCCCGCCATGATATCCCCCCCCCCCCCCCCATCATCACCCCCCTCTTCTCCGCCCCCGGCTCCTGCCCGGCCCCCAGACCGCCCCCCGGGCGGCCAGTCCTTCTTCCACCTGGCCTTGCCGCCGGACAGCTCTGCCACCGAAATGTCTGGGAAGGTGGAGCGCTGCCTGATCACGTCGGCCTGGGTCGTGGGAGTCGGGGGGAACGGAACGGAACGGAACGCCTGTGCGGGCGTGCGCCCGGGCCCCTGAAGGGCGAGGCGGGTGAGGCCATGGCCTCTCATGAGAAGCTGCGCGCGTCGGGGGTCTACTCAGGACAATGCGTGCTTCAGGAGCTGATTTCCCGACAATCCCCACTCATCCGTTTTCTCATGATGTAGCCACGTCGTCTCGTTGAAATCGTAGCCGGGGGGGAGGGGAAGACCAAAGACTGAGGATGTGCAACGATGGAGCATACGCTGTCGGTATGGAGCGCGGAAAGCATCACACGGGCAACACGGGCACGGGTGTCGGCCGACCGTCCGACCTCTCCGTGCCCCCGCGCCAAGAGGCGAGGGAAAGGGGAGGCACTTACAGTGACACCTCGGGCCTCCCGGAAGGACACATGATTATCACTAGGGGGCCACATGCGAGCCCTGCCCCTACCCCCCCACCCTCCCCCTCAGAAATCGTGGGGGGTAGGGGTAGGGTTCGCATGTGGTCCCCTAATCATATCAAGGCCCCCCGGGAGGACATATGAACATCCTATTACAAAGGGCAGAGAGAAAGCAGACCCAACGTTCGAGTCTGGTGCTCATGCGGTTCTGTTGCGCCTCGCCGGTTAAGGCGTGCAAATCTCGCCCAAACCAGCGAGGCAAAAAGCACACCAACAGTGCGATGAGAGAGCCTTCCACGAGCCAGGCTCCTCAATAAAAAAGGTGCGCAGCTGAGGCCGTCTACTGACCAGGCTCAACACGGAGTTGCACTGAAGGGAGGATGCTGCACCTAGGGCCCTCTACCAACCGGCCCCCTCGAAAACAGTGCCGAAGCGGCAGCCAGTTATGCTTGGCCACGCAGTGACTCAGTTGTCGCTTCACAAACATCGTGGTGACAGCCCTTTTCACTTATAGTTTCGCCCTCCTTGCGCCCTTATCGGGAGCAGCGCATGCGCGTGCATAATGTACGATACGCTGGCCACTGCATCTTCATCTCTCCCTGTTGGTCTGTGACGCATTCGCGATCGCAATTCGCTAGATGCGCCGGTCGTTGCGTTTGCGAAAATAATGAATCCGGACATATAACGCCGAATGGGTTGCCTAGTAGCGTCGTCGTCATGACCTATTGAAGGTCTCGTGCTCTTGAAGGATACTCTTCTGTCCTAGGTCCAGCCGTACGCGTAGCCGAAGTGACCCCCGTCTCGAGGCTCCCGAGGAGCGGCTGTACGCACGACTGACCCCAGGCAAAACTTACCTTCTCCTCCTCCTCCTCCTCCCCCTCCTCCTCCTCCTCCTCCTCCTCCTCCTCCTCCTCCTCCTCCTCCTCCCCGTCTTCCTCCTCCTCCTCCTCCTTCCTCCTCCTCCTCCTCTCCTCCTCCTCCTCTCCTCATCCTCCCTCCTTTTTCCCTCCTTACTCCTCCTCCTTCCTTCCAAAATCCCCCTCCTTCCTCCTCTCCCTCTTCCTTTATTTTTCCCTCTCTCCTCCTCCCTCTAGCCCTCCTCCTCCTCTCCCTCCCCTCCTCTCCTCCTCCTCCTCCTCCTCTCCTCCTCTCCCTCCTTCCTCCTCCTCCCTCCTCCTCCTCCTCCTCCTCTCCTCCTCTTGCCTCCTCCTCCTTCCTACTCCTCCTCCTCCTCCTCTTCTCCTCCTCCTCCTCCTCATACCTCCCTGTTCCCTGTTCCCTGTCCATGTCCTGTTCCCTGTCTCCCTGTTCCATGTTCCCTGTTCCCTGATTCCCTCCTCCCCCCCTCCATTCCCTCCCGACGAGGGCTACTACATCCTCCATCCTCCCTCCTCCATACTCATCCTCCCTCTCCTCGTCGTCCTCCTCATCCTCCTGCCTACTCTCCTCATCTCCTCCTCCTCCTCCCTCTCCTCTCCCAAGTCCTCATCCTTCTTCGTGTTCTTCCTCCTCCTAATACTCATCCTTCCTCCTCTCATCCCTCATCCTCAAAGTTCCTCTCCTTCCTATTGTTCCTCCTCCCTCCAATCACCTCCGCCTCATCCCTAACCTCCTCCTCACTCCTCCCTCCTCTCCTCTCCTCCTCCTCCTCCTCCTCCCCTCTTCCTCCTCCTCCTCCTCCACCACCTCTCCTCCTCCTGTCCTCCTCCTCCTCCTCCTCCTCCTCCTCCTCCTCCTCTTCCGCCTCGTCCTCCTCATCGTGCGCGGCCATCGTGCGCGGCCAAGGGGGGGCCCTTCAGGGACACCTTCAGGCGCGCAGGCCGCTGCCATCGCATCGCATTCAGAAATCGGGGGGCCTCATTGGTCCCGCACCACAAGGTCACCCGGGCAAACATAAAAAAACACGCCATAAACATAAGCTTTAGGCGGTCCGCGCGAATTTCTTGAATCTGCGTTGGACCCCCTTCCTGGCGCGCGCGCGCGCCAGGGTCGGCGCCGGAGGCGCCGCCAGGGGGGGCCCAGCGCAGACACACAATAAATCCGCGCGGAATGCCCAAAGTTCACGTTGATGGCGGCGCTTTTTCCTTCGTCGACCATTGGACCCGCAGCAAAAAGTCACTCGGGCAAAAAGTCACTCTTACTTCTGGCCGACTCGAGGCTCCGAAAATCCGCCGATCGCCGCGCTGTCGACCTGGGTCTGCGGGCTCGGGCGCCGTCCGCGCCGGGGCGACGCATCGGCGACGTCGACGCGAAGCAAACCGGGCTCAACATATAGCCGCATCGGCGATCCATCGGCGATGAGGCACGATCCTCCGACCCCATCTATTCGGACCCCCTGTAGGAAGCCTAATTATACAGGAGGAGGAGGAGGAGGAGGAGGAGGAGAAGGAGGAGACTGACTGATTGACTGAAGCAGCATAGATGTCGAATCTTATCTGATGTCCGCTCACGCACCGCAGAGCCTGGTGTCAAAGACCGGACATTCACCGAGGATGTTTGGAGTACCGACCAGGGGGCCATGTGACACATAACTGGGAACGCTGGGCCAATGCCAGCCCTGCGCCATGCACCGACTTGGCGCTGGCATGGCTGACTGGGCACGGGGGTGCTTTGACCCTTACCTGCGGCCCCTGGTCTCCTTGTCCAGAATTATCCGATGAAGTGCTTCAAACGTTGTTCCCACGGAAGAGTCACATTCTGAGAGCGAAGGGTGGAAGAGGGAGGAAGAATGGGTCCCCTGCTGGCCCCGCTGCGCTGCCTGCTCCTACCTCGCGCCCAGAGTCGAAACTGTGGAATAGGCTCGGGCCTCGCTCTCAACTACCTACCCTACGCTCTGACATGCCAGGCCGACTCACGTCTGAGTCGTTTCTTGCTGCAGGTAGCCTCGTTGCACTCGCTTGCTCGTTTCTTGCTGCTCGCTGCCTCGTTGCACCTACTTGCCCCGAAGAGAATGTGCCAGACCGCCCACGGGCGCTTTGCCTGGCATCTTGGTCATGCCAACGGCCCTCATGGCCAGCGAGAGGGGCCTGGCCACGGCCATGCGCACATACTTGTGCTTGCAATCGAGCTCCTGAGGATGGTACTTGATCATGTCCAGCTCGTTCTCCGGCGCGATCGTCTGCCCCACTGGCCACGCACGGTAGTCGCTGGCTCGACAGCTGTGCACGACATCCTCTAGTTCCGATGGCTTGCCCTCGTCCGCGTGTTGCTTGGCTAAGCGCTTGACGGCCCCGAACAACATCACGATCACTCCTGGATTGCCTTCCACGCTGGTTTGGGCCAAGGGCTCGAGAAGACTGGCGAAGGCGTGGAAGTGGGGGGCGACCGAGTTCGCGCCCGCTGCCTTGCTGTTTGACCTCTTCGTCGTAGCGATTGGTCGCCCCTTTCACGCTAAAAACAACAGGCTGGCCCGCGGGGGACACGAAGTGCACTTGGATTTTTTGTTTAACAAACCATACTGTTGTTGTTGTTGTTGGTTTTTGTTCCTCTCTCTCTCTCTCTCTCTCTCTCTCTCTCTCTCTCTCTCTCTCTCTCTCTCTCGTCCGCGCTTCGAGCTGGAGCAATAGCTTCTTCTCGTAGCCCTCCGTCTACGATTTCCCCTTCCTGCCCATCTTGCGATTCTACTCTCCCGCGCCTGCCGCCGTCTCTTCTACCTGTTGAACGCTGCCCGGCCACTTGGACATCCGGCGAAAGGGAGTTGTCTGCCATATTCGGTAGCAAGTGAATCCGAACATCGTCGTCAAGCTGCCCGGGCGAACTGGCAACATAGCTACAGAGCGTGTAATTGCGCGCGTTTGTGCTCGACGCGTGTCGGACGGCGCGCGCTATATAAAATGCACCATGCATCGTTCGCGCCCGATCGCAGCTGGTAAATGACCCTTCGCTGTTGCGCTTCGTGCGAAGTTGCTCTGGCGAACGAGGCAGTGAGTAGACGAGGTACCTGCAGGGGGCACTCTATCACTGGCGCGCGCAGGGGCGAGCAAGGGGCCGCGTCCTGCACCTACCTTCGCACGCGCCCGATTCGCGCGTGCAATTACGGCCTTGCCACTTTGGAAACTCGCGCCGCAAACTGAGCAACCGCGACGCGCGCGCCCGCCCGCCTGGGGGGGGGGCACTTCAGCCTCGACCTCCGCGGCGGGGGCAGGAGGCGGGATCGCGACAGACAACCCCCTGGGGCGAAGTTGTGCGACGTCGATTTTCCGGAGAGCATCTCGAGCTTCACCCAAAAAAAAACTTTGAACGCTTGCCCTCAAGTACAGTCTCTAGCTCTCCCCCTGCTTCAAACTCAAACAGCGCTTGCACGCCCAACCAGAACTGTCTGGCCCGCGCGAGAGCCGTTGGAAGAACCTCGCCTGTGCTCGACGCCTGTGCGTTAGTGGCCTCACACTGCGCCTGTCCCATCGGAGCATGAATGACCTGTCGATGATCGCGCTGGTGGCATGCGATGTCCTGCGGCCACTTCAGTCGACGGGCCCTGGGCCCAACGAAAAGACGGCCGAACTTCAACAACCTCTGGGCCTCAATGTTACTGGGTGCACGTACTTTATCTCCTCTCCGCTTGGCGCGTTGCCCTCGTAGGACGACGCA